CAGGTTCTAGGTTCTGTTTGTTAAAACCAAAAGTGTCTTGCAGTACTACTTTTGTAATAAATGGAAATTAAATTACATTTGTTTCCTCCCCTTTTTGGCTGATCCGAAAAATTTTCCAATCTGTGACTAAAAAACATGTGAGATTTGTAATCCGTTACAACACTATTAAGTGATATTAAAAAACAGTGAAGTGATACAAATATTCGTGAGTAAGTCATAAAGGACTCAAACACAATTGCACACATTGTATAAGGTCCTTATTCATTTCTAGTATTACAAGATGATACACCAACCTATTTCCCAAGATTTCTCTGTCTTTCTTCAGGGCCTTTTCAGCCATTGCCTTTGTAGCAAACTCTACGAAGGCATCGCCTGAGCTTTTCCCTCTGCGGTTGAGAATTATAGTAACTCCGTCCTCCACAACATCCAACCCTATTTTAACAATATCAGAACACACACATGAAGCATGGGTATTTTTTTTCAGCATAAAGATGTTCAAGTGTCAGATTTTACAAGTACTCACCTGAGAAAAATCTAATGATGTCTCCCTCCGTGCAGCTGTAGGGAAGCCCTCGTAGTCGTACCACTGTATCTGTCTCCACACGCTCCTTTGAAGCTTTTAATATGGCTTCAGCATCTTTGTTTGTTACTTCACGGACTGAAACAAGACAAAGTTGTTGATGAGATCTATTCTATTTGGCATGCTACAAATGTCAAAAAGGCCTCCTTGTAAACTGTAGGGTGTTCTTTTAAACGTCCTATGAAGTGCTTTAAAATTTGCGTTTTTTTATTCGATGTTTAAAGTAATTTTAACCGAAACATAATTTAAACCGAAAGGGTGGAACATAGGGTACTGAAGGTTTTTAAAACAGGCAATAGCTTTTGGTTTTTATCACTGCTCTGCCAGTGAGAGTGGTTAAGCTCAAGTGCATCAAATGAAAAGCAAATGAGAAGCATCATGAAGGGTGCAGACACGTTAGATACTAGATACTATCATTTGATTGATCAAGACATGATAAGAAACCAAAGTATGAGGTGATGTGAAAAAAAAAAAAACTCTTAGATGTTTATACGAATTTTTTTTTTTTAAACAAATTTGCCAGTGTTTTGGAGCACACTAGCTAATAGATATCCTTAAAACTAACAGATTACAATTAACAGCTAAATTTTTTTATTTTGATTACATGGGACCTTTGAAGTCTGCTGACCTTCAATAAAGCGATCTCTTAGGTAATGGCGGTGTTGATCCAGTGCTTTGCCAACATCCTCCTCGTGCTCCAGCTCGATGAACGCTTGTCCTGATGGCTTGCCGTACTTGTTATACAGAATATGGACTCCATTGACTCCTCCTCGGATCCTACATTCTGTAAAGAGGAAATAAAGTGCACATCGGTATCAGGACACAGTATGAGTATTCACTTCCCAAGCAAAAAGAAACCCAAATATACTTTCTATGGATTTGAGGAAAACTAATGAAGATTCTATAATTGAATCTGCTGAATATGTTTGGCTACAATGGTTTGAGCCTTGTCTGATGTGGGGTCTAGCTTTTTATTTGTTAAACAATCATATAAGGTTTACACTAGGGCTGTGCAATATGTAATGTGTAATTATATAGCGCATTTACTGTGTTTGGCCATGCACCCAAAGTGCTTCACAATCATGAGGGGGTCTCTCCACACCACTATCAGTGTACAGCTTCCACTTGGATGATACGACAACAGCGCCAGTGCGCTTACCACACACCAGCTATAGCTGGAGTGGAGAGACAGTGATGCAGTGTATCCGGAAAGTATTGATAGCGCTTCACTTTTTCCAAATTTTTTATGTTACAGCCTTATTTCAAAATGGATTAAAGTTTATTTATTTCCTCAAAATTTTACACACAATACCACCTAATGTGAAAAAAAGACTATAAAAGACTGCAATTTTATAAAAAATCTAAAAACTTGAAAAATCACATGTACATAAGTAGTCACGGCCTTTGCTCAATACTGTTAATGCACCTTTAGCAGCAATTACAGCCTCAAGTCTTTTTGAATGTGATGCCACAAGCTTGGCACACCTGTCTTTGGGAATTTTTGCCCATTCCTCTTTGCAGTATCTCTCAAGCTCTATCAGGTTGGATGGAAAGCGACGGTGTACAGCCATTTTCAGAGCCCTGAAACTACAGGGCTTTCATCATTTAAACAAATCATTTTACTTCTATTTTGAGAGAGTAAAAACTTATATTAATAAGAAAGTCATCTGCTACGGTATGCTGTTCTCAAGATGTTATATAAATATGTAAGCCATCAGATATCCATTTTACTTTACAACCATTTAAATATCTGCTAAACCAACTTGCTTTTCTTTGCTTAGTTTGGGCCTTTAAAAAAAAAAAAACATGCTTTGTATTTATATATAAATTCTTACCAAACAATCTGTATTAAAATATTAGACAAACTTAAATACATCTGCATAATTTTATAGTTTGATCATTTTCTCTGGCTACATTTAATTTCAAGTGTCTGCATTCATATGACCCAGTTCATACAAAAAAGAAAATTATGTCATCATTTACTCACCTCTAACTTGTTCCAAATAGTTTTCTTTCCTCTGTTAAACAAACAAAATGGTGTTTTGAAACCTGTAACCATTGACTTACATTATTTTTCCTACTATGAAAGTCAATGGTTACAGATTTTCAGCTTTTTTTTTTTTATAAATATCTTCTTTTGTGTTCAACAGAAGAAATACACTTAAAAGATTTAGAACCACTAGAGGGAGAGCAGGGCCGGAGTGGGACACCTTTTCAGCCCTGGAGTTTCAAGCCTCAGACCGGCCCACCTCAGTTCACGACTGACTATATTAAAATAAGGTCATTTCCAAATCAGTTTCTGATGACACTATCACGTCTTTTTTTTGAGAAAACAGCTGCTTTAGAACTTCAAATGTTCAACAACCCTAACAGTATTATATGTCTTAACAATAAAAATGAAAACAATAAGGTACTCTAACGAGGATCGAACCCGGGTTCGCGGGGTCTTAACCTAACGTGCTAACCGCTGGACCACAATAGCTGTATTCAAAAAGAGGACACAACTGAGTTTTATAATCATTAAAATAGATGAAAAGAGAAGAGTTGCGGTAAAATAATGAATAAAAAGGCTGTGGTAAAGTAAATAAATAAATTTAAAAAGTGTGACTGCTGAGAGCAACAGATTCTGCAGCTAGGGACACCGGCCCTCGCGGCCAAAAAACGGACCGGCCCACCGGGAATTCTCCCGGTCCTCCCGATTAGCCAATCCGGGCCTGAGGGAGAGTAAATAGTGTATAAATGTTAAATTTTGAGTGAACTATGCCTTTAATTTGACTAGAGCAAACGTGGGAACAACAGCATATCTTCAAAACGACTTCTTAGCTCAAATAACAAAACAAATACCAGAAAAGAAGCTCATTATGTCTTCAGCTGTACAGGACCAGGGCAGACCCTTAGCCTGGACGATGAACAACTCCTTTGCTTGGTTCTCTTCAGAACCAGGGGTGTATTCTGGTAGAGGAGGGTACTCATCATCTTTAGATGGTGCCTAAAACAGTAGAAGGGCAGCGTCAGGAGACGCGGTAGACTGTACATAACATTTACTTCTGCTCGCATTTATCCAAAGCGACTTACAAGTGAGGGTGTAATATGAATCGATCAGGTAACTTTACCTCAGAGCACAGACTTCGTTGAGAAAACATCCATGGATTCTTGGCTTTACAGTCTGCTAAATATCTTGTTGTCAATGAATGAACACTCAGACCTCGTGCTGAAGTTAACTGCGCAGTTTTACTATGATTCAGAGTCTCTAGGCATGGAAACCGCGGCGATCTCCTGACACAGCGAACAAGAGAGAACAAGAGCGCGCTTCGACTCAGTCCAGACATCTTAAATTGTGCAAAATTAAACTTAAACCTACGTGAAACCCTAAACATATACACGGCATAAACACGGCATGGTACAGCTTATTTGGAGCGCAAATCCCGTTGACCTACGGCATCAGAGGACAACATGACGTCATCAAAAGGCGCCTCGGAGTTTGACAAGATCTTTCAAAATAGTAGTTCAGCAAACTGTTCTTTCATCATTATCAATAAAGTGTGGTTTTATAGACTTTGTTTAGGTATGGATAAGATTAAATGTTCTAGAATATGGACATATGCTGCAAATTAAGATATTAATGCGCTTTAATATGTGAACATTAATCTAATTTTCTTTATATTGTTTTTGAAAGCACACAATATAACAAGAGACAAACCTTAATAAAACTTCCAGAGCAGCAAAACGAAAATATTCACACATATTTAAAACACAACACATAGTGTTATACAAGAGGTTAATTATCAGGATTTGTTTTTTTTTACATTTGTTGTAACAAAATTATTTTATTAAGCAGAATTTTAAAGGATTCGATGGAAAATTGGTAAAACTACTATATAATAACTATATATATAATAGTAAAATAACTATATTGGAAATATGTTTTTGTAAAATATGTTAATAGTTGTGTTATCGTTGACCTGTTATTAAGCTGTTAGATGGGATTCAGAAGAGTATCATTTTAATTCATACTGAAAAATATGTATCTTCTTCACAACAAACAAGCCATTTAGATTAAACTGTTTTTATTATAATTTCAGTATTGAATAAAAACAATGAATAAAAAGTACAATAGAAATATCAATACTTATAAACAGTAACACTTTTAAACTATTAGCTTGTGTAATGATGCAAACTACATATTTTCCTTTAAATTTTTCCAGTTATGCAGTGGTATTTTGTAAGTATGTTAACAGTAACATATATAGATATTGTCCAGTAAATAATACATAATTTATACATGTGTCTGTCTGCATTTGTACTGTAGTGTAATTTTTATGCTTTCGGGACTCTTGTTATAGAAGAAAGGAGGTGCAGCGGGACTGCAGACTTGACCTCGCGAGGTTTGAGGCTTTAGCTGGAGAGACTTTGGATGGGAAGAAGTTTTCCACGGGCAGGATCTGTGTTGATGGGGTGTTGAGGACGTTAAAGCTCAAATACCCTGTGTTCCCACGTTTCGCAGTCAGGATAACGGATTTGTGTCGATTTCTCATCTACAGCACGTTTTCCTCCGGGAGAGATGAGCTTTTTGTTGTGAGTATGGTTTATAAAAGGAAACACTGACGGCTAGTTAGCAAGCGCAGAATACTGCTTTTGTCCCGAAGCCTCCTGTGCATCATCAGTCCTGTCTCACAGCCGTTATTTATTAGTCAACCGTAATGATACTGAAATAAAAGCAAACAGGAGAGCCCATCGCAGCAGGGACTTTCTAACGTTAGCATGCACAACAAAACTGTAATGGTGTTCTGGCTAATGGAGACTAACTTAGTTAGCCAGAATATGAGGCCATCAGCAGCTGCATGAAATTACATTTGGTTACTCACTCTTTATGTTTATATTTAGATTCACACAACAGTAACGGGCTGTAAATTGAGCCGTATTTATCAGCATCAAGTCATTCAAGTAAACGCGATATAGTCGTGTTTTGTGGCTGGATACCAGTAGCTTTGGCTTGTTCTATCCTTCTGTCATAACCTGAGTTGTCTCATAATGTATTCTTTATTATGACAAAATCATTTTATCATTAATAATTGCTACCTAGAAAAGCGTATTGTCGCTTTCATGCACCGCCGTGACATCAGTGTAAACAAGAAAACAAGACATGTTTAGATAATCCCACTGTAATCCCAGTACACTGTACTTATCCCAGAATAATAAGTCCCAATAGAGCACGTTTTACTGTAGATTTGTATTGTGTTGTGACTGCTAAATCATATAAACAATTGTATTTTTCTATCTCTAAAAGGAAAAAGTGCAATGTCAACAATAATAACTGTTGTGCATTTCTCTCTTCTTCTGCTTTCCATTAAAAATGAGATGTACTAGTCCCATATATGAAGCTGTTGAGCTGTTCATTGAGCATTCAAACTCTAAGCAGTTTACAGCTGTGTAGGCAAATAAGTAAAAAAAGGCAGATAAAAAAAACAAGTAAAGTTTCCTAAAGCTTTAGTTCACCCAAATGACATTTTTTTCCTAATTTACTCGCCCTTTATTACTAGTTTCATACTTTTATGTTTGAAAAACAGCATTGTTATACCTGCAAGCAGTTTGAACTGCAATTTGTATGGCATCACATTAGCACAGATGTATACCCTTTGAAAAAGATGCAGCTACATGTCACCATGTTGCACAAGATCTGTGACTTGTCTGCTTGGTAGCGGTGACCAGTGTATGTGGGGTTGAGGGCTGTGGGAGCGGAGTGATGTTGGAGTCTTAAATAGGCATAGAGTCCTGCGGAGGATCTTAAGATTGTTTTTATTTTGTGTTTACTTCATGATTAAAGTTGTTCAACCTTCTGGTTGATCACTCAACCAGAACTGTAATTCAGGCCTTAGTCTGTTCATCCACAACATCAACCTTAGTCAAGGAAATGTCATTAGGAAGATAAAGTCATTTTGGGATCGGCACATATCTGTTCTTGTCTTCTTAATTGTTGCTGAGCCCTTTAGTTCAACTGTTTTACTGGGGCCTGTTTCAGAAAGGAGGTTAAGTGAAAACTCAGAGTATTTTAACCCTGAAATGAAAGAAACTCTGGGTTTTCGGTTTCAAAATGGCAGGTTTGTTAAACTCAAGAAATCAGGGTAAGTCAAGCCTGTTTCTGAAAGAAAGGTAACTTTAACTCAGAGTCAGTTACTGTGGTAACTTACTCTGTGAATCTAACCTGGTCCAGAGCAGGTTTTATTCTCTAAACTCTGAGTTTCTGTTGGTCTCCTTCCCTTTTTTAAAGATGAAGCGTATTTCTCTCATTAGTCTTACGTTTCCACACACCTATTTTAGAGCTCATTTTGGAGATGCCCATAAAAACGATTGATGGAAACGTCATGATTCACATAACTTTTGAAAATATGCATAATAAAACATTTGCATAACTGAGTAGGTTAAACTTTTATTTGATAAGAAAAGATGCGCATAAACTACGAAGTGCACTTAACAAATTACAGTATGTACATTAAAAAAAAAGTTTGTTAGAGATGATGATGAAAATGTGTGTGAAAGGACAAACCAGCTGACTGAGCACACAGTAGAACATCTTAAATGTTGTTTTAGTCATTCAAAAATGCCTTAACTGTTTCAGTATTAGTGTATATTATTAATTACCTCCGAGCGTCTGGAGCGTGTCAAGATCGGCCGCATCTGGCTTCAAGCGCCCCCACGTGTTCATTGTGTCTTCTGAGGCGCATGTATTAAATAAAAAATCGTTAACGCAGCTTGTTCTACCGCAGTAAATTCTGTTTTTACTGTTGATATTTGGCGCAAGTTAATCAGGAAGTGACGATTGTGTTCTCTTTGACTCGTTGGATAAAAACACTGCTTTATTCGCATCTTTTAGGCATTATTCCAGTTTTGCACAAATTTATGTAAGCCTGTATTTTGATGGAAACATAGCTATTGCCTACTTTTTTTGTCACACACAGAACAAAGTCACGTACAAGGCTTGTCCTTTTTTCCATAAATATTTAGCTTAACCTTCGACATGTACTGTTACTAGTTTAATGGGATTATTATTCTGTCTAAAAATTATTTTTAGCACTGCTTAGGTTCTTAATGTTATATCAACCTATCACTTGATCAATAAAAAGGCAGACACACAAGTGCACTGTTAAATCTATTAAAACTGATAAACGTGTATAAAAGTTTAGAAAAAAGTATAAAGTCACACATTATATTACTTATTTTATTATACTTAAATGTTTAAATAATTTTTTTTTTTAAATTACGCATTAACTTGAGCAGCTGTTTTCCCATGCTAACTGTCTCTGTTTCACTGATGGTTGCTTCTTTTTAAATATATACACTCATATTTGCTAAAACTTTGCAATGAGCAAATGTTCAGCTGGGAAAAGAAATGGTGATCTCTTTTTTTTAGATGTTGCCATGGTCACTCATAATATCTGCGCTCCATTGATAATGCCTTTTTATAGTCACGGTGTGCGTGCTTAACTCTGAGTTGGTCTACTCAAAATTGATTGACCCAACTCAGATCAGCTATTCTGAAACCGAAAACTCTGAGTTTTTAATCTCTCGGTAAATCAACTTAGAGTTCAAGTTTAAACTCCGAGTTGTTTGAACCTCCTTACTGAAACAGGCCCCTGGTCACTTCCAGTTAGTATCTTTCACTGTTTGCTGTGCAAACTCTGTCCTGTTTATGTCTAAACAAGTGGATGTAGTGAATAAAGCAGCTGTTGTCCTGAAGACAGGGTCACTTTGATGTATTGAGAGTGTAGGAAAACTACATACGCAACGGAGAGAATGCACTTAGATAAAATGGTTTTAAAACAGTAAAATGTAAAGTTTATTCTGCTTATAAAAATAATATGAATATGTATTTGATTAATAATGGTATTTAACATTATTTCTATGTTTATTAATATCTTTTATGGGTTTTTTTGTATGGTCTTACACCTTTCAGGCTCTGATTAAAGAATAGTTGATAAAAATGAAAGTTTTATCATTCTATTCTACTCCCCAAGGTTCAGAATTAAAAATATATTTTGAAAGTAGGAAAAAACAAATGCTGGAAGGCTGTGGCTTCAGGTTTCCAGCTTTCTCAAGAATATATTTCATTGTGTTCGACAGAAAAAAAAGTTTTTTAAAACATGTTAAGGATGACAAAATCATGACCAAATTTTCATTTTTGGGTGAACTGTCTTAATGCCAAAATGAAAATAGCAGTAAAAATTACAGTGCTTGTGCAGTTATTAAAAATTGACACTAAAACAGACAAAAAATGAATTTGATGAATTCCAAGTGCCAGTAAAATGTTTTCACGATCCTCTGTGATGCTTTTATGTCCGTCATTATTATTGTTGTATTTTGGTAAAAAAGGATGCCATTTTCTTTATCAAGTTATTTTATTCTATGCCACGTTTATAAATGTGATTGTAAGGAAACAAATTACATCTGAAAGTTAAAATTACATTTGAAAGTTAAATATATAGGCGTTGTTAGAAATAATTAATTTAGAGTGTTGACCATCTGTGTGTAGTTGATGTCTGAGCGCCAGGAAACCAGCCAGCAATGAGCTGCTTTTGTTGTCAGTTACAAATTTGAAAAACATAAACATTTTTAGTATAAATTCTTTAGGATAATATGAAACAGTTGCTGTGTGCAATGAACCATCTTCATGATTGACCTTCATAATGGAGCTTCTTGGGGAGAGTTTTAACTGCATATATGTACATGAAGTTTTCGGGAGGAGTTGAATATCTCGGTGTAGCTTTTTGTAATGCAACGGCTCCTTTTTGTAGTTTTGTTATTGCTTTTCGTGTGATTTATTCTAGCCAGAAAAAATACTCTATTGAAAGAATTTTAATGGTGCAATTCAGTATGCACTGTTTTTGGAAATTGAAAGATATTTTCTAAGTCAAACACAATACCTGTCATGACCTTGGCTTTAAAATGTAATCATTAAATTATTTGAATTTAAAATACTTTTTATAAAATCAGTGCAGAGAAGACGCAAAACTGTAAATATGCTTCTGTAAATATTATGTAAAGAGTGAACCTTGATTATACCTTTAGATATTATATTTTTATTATAATAAGTACATTTCTTAGTTTAAAGAGTAGTTTTCATGGCAATATGTAAGCATTACTTTGTCCCAGCATGAAAAGGTGAAAAAAATCCTTTCATCCTCACTCAGTTTACTGAGAACTATTCCTTGAACACATTTTTACACAATTTAATCTACAAAATCCTACCTCTAAATAACCCCCATGATGTTCGATAAAATGACTGACTGTGCTGTTTCGATTACTTGAAAACTGAAAAAAGTGGTTAGTTATAATAAAGAACCACAGTGGTGGTTGTAAGCTGGTGAATGAGTAATAAAAAAGCAAGATGAAAACAATCCACTGACATCAGAGAACATGCAAATGTGTTGCAATGCAGACAGCAGATATCCAGACAGGCTTAAGAATTCATGTTTTCTCTTGTCCTTTTAAGAAAGATGTTTAGTGAGAGACCAAGATGACACAAAGTGCATACTTTTTGTTCAAATTATTTAAAAGTATATTCTTATAAAATAATTGCAGATCAACTACTGTTTAAATATTGTTTTACTATTATCTGTAAGGTGAAAAGGGAGTATTATGTTCTTTTACATGCAAACTGCAGACCTCTTAGCCTGGCTCTATCTGAAATCAACTTTCAGAAATCAATTTTTTCAGAAAAGATTAATTATTTTATATGGTAGTGCACTGACATGATTACACAGCCATTATGTTCTAGGTTTGAAACAACAATTAGGGTGAATAATTAGTTTAATCATGTAATCATACAATTCATAAAATCAGTAATATCCTTAGAAACTTTAGAACAATTTTAAAAGGTCATATTATCCAATTACATCTTTTGTTCTTTTCATTTCAAGTCTGATTACTTAATTAAGATTACATGTAATCAGTTACCCAGCATTGTGTGGCAGAGAACTCATTTTTGTTTCAGTGTTTGTTAACAGCATTCATCAAAGCCTGCAAACTTAAAGTACTCTCCTGTCGTTCACAGTGGAAGCCGCTCGTCAAAGACGTTCAAGCCGAAGAAGAACATTCCAGAGGGCTCACACCAGTACGAGCTGCTGAAACATGCAGAGGCCACGCTGGGCAGCGGAAACCTGCGCATGGCCGTCATGCTGCCCGATGGAGAGGACCTTAATGAATGGGTGGCAGTCAATAGTAAGCATGTGTCTTTAATCTGGGGAAAATAAACTTGTCTGCATCCTTGTGCGTGTGTATATTGCCATATACTTGAAAAATTCCAACGATCATATTGGTTTTTTTTTTATATTTGTTCTCTGTAGCTAATTGTCAGTAGGTCTACAGTATTAAAAACTAAAATTTAACAAGGGGGAACAGAAATCATTATAATGTATAGTGTAATTACTAAACTAAAAGATGTATGTATGTATGTATGTATGTATGTATGTATGTATGTATGTATGTATGTATGTATGTATGTATGTATGTATGTATGTATGTATGCATGCATGCATGTTTTTTTATATTTGTTTGGTTTGCAACATTTCCAAGGCATTTGCTTAGTTTGATCATCGGCCTCTGGCATTCCTCTCTATTTATCAGTAGAGACAGTGGGTCTTTCTTAGATAATTGGCCTCAGGGACAGAGGGCTGAAAACACTCTGGCAGCTCTGATGTTGCTATGGTTTAGGGTTTCATCTAATTGCCGCAGCTCATGAAATATTGGGTGTACCCAACTTCTGCTATATAATTACAACACAGTTTTCCAAATCCCTTGAGGTTTTATTGGAAATGCATGGGGCAGATATTTTTCCTATTGTTTGCAAGCAGTAAATTTTATTTCTCTGAGTCTTTAAATGATTAAAGATGTTTGGATCGGGTTGTGCTATAATAATGTTTCATTGCTTGTAGCTGTGGACTTCTTTAACCAGATCAACATGCTGTATGGGACCATCACAGACTTCTGCACTGAGGAAAGCTGCCCATTAATGTCTGCTGGACCTAAGTGAGTATTAGCAACAATCATTTTAAGTAGTACACCACTTTTCAAAGTGTAACATTTTTGAGGTAATTTGTTTTGAGGTAAGGTGTTTTTGAGGGAAGTATCAAGTTTTGTTTAGCCGCAATAGCTCAAAATCACACAAAAAACAGGCCAACCTCATGCATTGCTGATTAAATGTAAAACATCCATCCATCCTTCTGCTATTCTCACTTGTTTCTCTTTTTCATGCAGATATGAATATCACTGGGCTGATGGAACAAACATAAAAAAGCCAATTAAATGTTCAGCTCCAAAGTACATTGATTACCTGATGACTTGGGTCCAGGATCAGCTTGATGACGAGACACTTTTCCCATCAAAAATAGGTGTGCTGCTCCTTAAATTTGTTGTTCAACATTGAGAAATTTGCTATTCATTTTCTTTATAAAGCTCACCTTGATTAGGGAGTGAATTGTCCACATGGTGGTGCCATTTCAAAAAACATAGCTGCCACATCTACAGTATCAGTTCCCTTGTGGTCACTGTTTCCACACTTTTCATCTGCTTGGATTCTAAAACAGATTTTAATGTTGTATTTTGTGCGATTATTTATAGGTGTCCCTTTCCCAAAGAACTTCATGTCGGTGGCCAAGACCATTTTGAAGAGACTCTTCCGTGTTTATGCTCACATATACCACCAGCACTTTGAGTCAGTTATCCAGCTGCAGGAAGAGGCACACCTCAACACCTCATTCAAGCACTTTATCTTCTTCGTTCAGGTGTGTGTGTGCTTTGTCACTAAAACGTGAGTCTGTGTTTGGCTGGGCGGTTTAGCTTATCACAAGATGAATGTGGTGCTTAACGACTGTGACACACCACACAGACATCAAAAAACTAGTTTTGTCTAGTCCAGCAATAGGTGTGCTTACCTTGAACCTATCACATAGCCACATCACAGCCGACTGCAAACTAGCCTGTGCACGCTATATATGTCAATCGAAAAAAGAAACCAAAACTTTGACTTTAAATGTACAAAACATAAACAAATCAGCACTTGCTTTTTGAATTTATATTACTTATCACTTTCATTATTTTATATGGCTTTAAAATCTGACATTGCAATACATTATTTTTGGGTGATTTGTATTGCGATGAGAATATAATTTCACCTGATGAATTGCATAGCTCTATTTTAAAGATTTCATTAATTTAGATAAACTGGATTGATCAAGTCTTTTTCTATGCAGTGAGTTTGCTTAAATTATATTGAATTACAAGCATATGTAAATGAAACATTTGTTTTCTTTAGAGTTTAATAGTCTTCAAGTATAGAAATTGAACAAGCAAACATATGATGAGGTTGTCATTGTGTAAATTATTTAAATAATAATATCTTCATCTTTTAATATTAAATAAATAATCTGATCCTGCAATGTGACTCTTGCAGTTACACACATTGGGATATCAATGCTCAAACAATATATTGATGCATCTGTAATATGGCTCATTCTGTGAATGTATAACTGCATATTCTGATTGGCTTATTCAGATTTATTCAAGAAAAAAATATATACAGTTTTCAAATGAACAAGGTGCTTATTTATTTTAAAGTGTGAAGTAAAAAGATAATGATACAACTACAACAGGTTTGGGAGTGAAATTATTCTACCTGTACAAAACTAAAACAGTAGACAAATGCAGATTTACTCTTTTCCAGCAGGTGGCGCTTGTTTAGTTCTGTGAGTAAAGCAGCTTTGCTGGTATTTTAAATGTATTCAGATATCTTTTGAAAAGAAAATACTATTTGAACTTTTCTGAAGACAGTGGCTTCCCCTTTTAGATTCTTTCTGTGTGAAGCAGTATTAAAACTTGTGTTTTTGTCACATAACATAAAAGTTTTATTGACCACCCAGCTAAATTTAAATGCTAAAAAAGGCCAAGTATCTAAAATAAGTTGTCAAAATCTTCGAAAAATAAGCTGGACACTTTACTTTCAAACACTAGGGCCATGTCTGCTAATGGCACTGAAACCACACTCACTTCTGGGAAACCAGCCATCACTCAATTGTCAGATAGCTAGAAAAATGTAGACTGTAGTAATGAATTGTGATAATATCTTAAGACTGAACTGGACCACTGACTGTAATATGCAGTAGTTATTGTGTTATGGCCTGGGCAATGCTTGATTTTTCTAGTGCAGTATAGTTCTCTACATACTTAAGAGTTTTTGTAATGTATTTTAGCAGTACATTTATAATGTGTTTAGAAAGAAGTTTCAGAATTCTTTTGACATAATAAAACCTCTGACCCAGATTCAATATTTAGAATTTTCTTTCAGCATTGTGAACTGTAAGCTGCTCTTTCTGCCTTTCATACCTTTATTTCTGAGAATGTACAGAAGTTTTATGTAATTACAGTAGTCATTCAGTTTGTTGAAGGGCTGGTTTACCATGAAACTTTACTCAATATTTACTCAACCTTAAGCTGTCATAAAACTGTTTGACTTCCTTTTTTTAACACAAAAGAGGATATTTTAAAGAAAGCTGAATACCTTTAACCATTTACTTCCATAATAGGAAGAAGTAGAAAAACAAATAGCCTGTAAGCCAATGGTTACAGGTTTCCAGCATTCTTCAAAATATATTTTAAGTGAAAGAAACTCAAACAGGTTTGAATCAACTCAAGTGAAGGATGAGTAAATGATGACAGAATTGACTTTTTTGGCTGAACTACCCTTTTCATGCACTACAATCTCATGTTGTCACCTAAATATAAAAAAACCCAACTGCCTGCTCGGTTGGAGCATGTCTTTAAGTCCGGCTCTTTTTCTGTATTTTTCAGGAGTTTAATTTGATTGACCGAAAAGAGCTTGCACCCCTTCAGGAGCTGATTGAGAAGCTCACGTCCAAGGACAGATAAACTGCTCCTCCAGTCAGCATCTTCTCTCATTTCTCTGTACAGGCAGCCTGGCTTTGTTCTCTCTGTGTTTGACAGGTGTGTGGGAACGTTTTCCTTCAAGAGTTAGAAAAGGCTGAGTCCAAAAACAACCCTTGATAAGCCACAGCTCCACCATAGGTCATGGTCATAGTGGAATTAAACTGCAGCCCTTTTGACGTCGTCTCAAACACGATCTAAGTGCCTGATATGTCCACTTTCCAAATTGCTATCCTTTGTATAAAAAGCACTACCACTGCTATTGAAACTTCTTTATGATTATGCTATTGACATTTTTTTCCTAGGGGTACGTTAATAATTAGTGGTATGTTAGCTGTTTTTCCTCTTAATGGATTTATTTAGAAGGTCATAGATTGAAAATGAATGGAGCAATCACAGATTTTTCTCAGAAACGAAGATAAAGAAAGTCTTGGCTTCTTCTAAGCACTCGTTTTAGCTGCTCCCAGTGTCTTATGACATGTCGGGATTTCCGTTATCCTTTTCTGTAGTTGAAATGCTTTGTTTACTTCAGATTATATCCAGCCTCTCACTCATTACAGTAGAACATTATGTTCACACTTTGCCAGCCAACACTTTACACTACAGTACATTTACTTTTGAAGGAGTGCTTTTGTTGGTGAGCCAGTTTTCACAGATTCATTCCCAGAGTTCAAGGGTTTGTCTGTTGGAAGCTGGGATGAAATAAGCTGACTATGCAAGATCTGTTTGTCCTATTTGATCATCCTTTCATACACTATAAAATACAACAAGCTTTTACATTCACTTTTAATTGCATAAACAACATTAAACGCAATAAATATAATATATTTTTCACCCTTATATCTTAACTTAGCCCCTCCAAATCTGTTTTGGTGTGTTTCAAAGATCCAGGAAAACAGTTAAAGATACATTGAATGCATGTTGAACAAGATCTGTGATAGATTCAATAATAGCTTCCTCTTATTCAACACATAGCAGCTTTATTGAAGACAAAATAGTTGTTCATTTTCACTATAAGTGCGTACATTTGGTTTCACCACCTGAATGTTGTTATTATTATTATTTTTGTTATTATCATAATTTGGAATGTCACAGAAATTGTGTTCTGAATTACACACAACTAAAAAGTTTCTCAGAGATTTCTACATCTTTTCACATTGGTGATCGATTATGGACAGATGTAATAAACATTTTTGATGGCAAGTTGTAAATACTGTAAACAATAAAGGTATGCAATTGGATAATGAGATGTGTAACTTGCTGAACTTTTGTGGTACAATGCTGAATACTGTTTATAGTATAATAAAGCAGTTTGAACAAAACCTGGTTTTGTGTTTCGTACAAAGCAACAGTGATTGTAGTTTCTTAAATTGTAAATTTGAAAAAAGAGAGAAATTGTAAAGCATGAGTAAAAAAGCATTTATGCATGACTTCATTCTTGAATGAAGCATTATAGGGATATTATATATACATGTATGTTAGATCCAGCACTTTTATCATTACCTAATGAATCGCATTATAAAATAAATTTACAACTTGAAGTGAGGTTTTAATTTGAGTTGCCTTTAAATAATAATAAAAAAATACACTTTACATGGACATACAGTCTTGTTTTATTACAAATGCATATTATGAAACATTGAAAGCATAAATTCTCATTGAAAGCATTGACAGAGGACAAATTTAGAAACATGTTTTTAAAAAGGTTTTAGAATTTTGGTAATAAACCTGAAAAATTCCACTTTAAAGCTGTGAAAAAAAATCATAAAATTAACTGTAATAGATTTTGAATAGTTACGTGTCACTAAAGTTTTGATTAATTAAAGTTTTATTTGGAAGAGTTTAACAAGCAATTGGCATCCATTCAGTACAATGACCCTTTTCATTTATTTATTTATTGCTTCAAATACATTTAAGCGCACACACTGCACTTTTCGTGCAGCAAGAGATAGTTAGGTGATCTGCCAGAATGCTAACGTTAGCATAATAGCTTACATCCCTCACCTGCCGTACAAAGCTTTGCCTCCTTAAGTCATGACTGCACACCGAATAGATGGCGATCTGATGACGATAGACAATCTTATATAACACTAGATCATGTCATTCACCAGTTAGAAAACTCTATAGAGACACATACTTTGTCTAGCATAGTTGTTGACTGGCCAGCTGGAATTATATTTCCCCAAATCTGGCGTTGGGGCAAAATTGGTTTTATATTCGCACAATTAGACTTTCTCCCCAATAAGACGAGTGACTTTTCATTTTCAATTGTGCTCGCTGATCTTCATACATTGCTTGTTTTCATCTCCTTTTACTCTTGGAACAACTAAATGAATGCTTATGTCTATTTGACCAATTATATTATCGATGCTGTATCTCATGAACTTTCGTCAGACATTTTCAGTGGCTGAAAAACACTTTTGTGCATATAAAACTATTTACAAGCAAGAACACAATCTACATGCACTTTGAAAAGCTAAAGGTAATACTTAAGCCATGGTGTCATTCTTCAGATCATGGTATTGAACTGTATCACGTCATTTCCCTCCACGGCATTTTTGTCATAAGGCCTTTCAAAAACCTTCTTTCTGTTTATGGATACAAGGCCATGTTGGTCTTACAGAAAGAAGTCTTTCAGGTTGATGCTGAGTTTACCTGTTGTGTCACTCTCTGTCAACTGTAGATCAATGCTTCACATGCATGCCCAAATAACGGATCTGTCTGTGTGGACAGGCTGCGCAGATATACAAATTTAAATTTGTTGACAGACAGTTTGAGTTACCTGTCATAATTAAGTTAGTTGTAAACCCGATGATTTTTCATTGGATGAACAATTTTTAGTCTTGCACCTTACCCAGAATATAAAAATACATATAAATACATGTAGATCATTTACTTTAATCATTACTAATGGAGAGACTTTTAACCAGCACAAGAAAAAATATTTCTGAAGACAATCACCTACTGCACCTTTAAGTAGGCCTTTACATAAAACATACTTTTATTTTACCGTCGTCTGGCCTTTCCCTCTTTTAATCAAGGATATGTTTTACAAACTTAGGAGCACAATAGTCACGTTTGGGTGTGACATAATTAATGTCAATAAATAATGACAAATTAAACTTGTCAGTCAGCTTTAGTCATGTGTGGTCATAATTTGGTTGGTCTCTCAGTTCTGCTTTGTTATTCATTTTCTTGTCCTGACTTATGCCCTGGGAGGTGAGACATTATAAACACTACAGTTTGCGTATCATCACAGATCATTCAACAGGTCATTCATATAGATGCCCGCTTTTCCATATTGTTACTTACAATCTCCTTAACGAGCAGAGCTTCCTGAAGTTCTTTTACATATGCAGATATAAATGCTCACAGAAGAGGGAGACAAAACACCTGTGGATAAAAAAACAGCACGAGTCCTCACTGCTGGCCTTTCACTCTGGCGCCAAATTCACACAAAAGGTCTTTGAAATGACACAAATAGCGGCGACTACAAAACGACCATGTGAAATCTTCCCAGATTACATGTTTTTTATAAAGGGCATAGATTTCAATGGAGCTGATTGTTGAAGGCCAGAGATTCGGGTAATAAAAATCTTTTTCTGAAAGATTTGCTTGGAAAGGGCTAGTCTCTGTGCTAATATGGCGTTTATTGCGATCATATGTTTTCTTGACATGTGAGTTTTGTTATGTGGAACCATCAACAACCCAGAGCTTGTCTTTCCCAGCTGAATATCAAAGAGGCTTAAGACAGATGTCCTCCTTTCTAGTACAGAATTATTATTTAGGCTAAATGCAAGGCTGGGAGCCCAGCCAAAACCAGCTATGTCCAGCTTAAACCAGGCTGGTCAAGCTGGTTTTAGCTGGATTTAGCTGGTCATTTTCCAGCCTGACCAGCTAAGACCAGGCTGAAAATGGCCGGAAACCAGCCTGGAAATGGCCAAAACCCCTCTAAAACCAGCCTGGTCGACCAGCTTAAACCAGTCAACCAGCCTAGGCTGGTTTAAGCTGGATTTTTCAGCAGGGTGGATTTACCAGTTGTGTGTGTGTTTTTTTTTTTTTTTTTTTTTATCTTTCTGTCTATTCAGAGGTAATATCTACCTACAAAGCAAACTTTTCCTCCTTGCTTGCCTTAACTGGTTGTGTAAGCTTGTAAATTCGATAGTATTACTGGAAATGTAAGTGTTTGACCAGACATGTCACATGCTGTTTGTTGATGGATTTGACTACACATATCTTGGCAGCATTTTTATATTCAGTCTTTTTTTTTATTTTTATTTTGTTTATTCCTCGAAGGTCTGGTTCCAGGCCAGCTCACTGTCTGCAAAGATCGTCTCACTTTTTCTTGTAGCCTATTTGGTTTTGATCTTCAGCATTTAAAAAAGGAGTTTGAGGTGAATTATAAAATCATTATATAATGAATACGGGCAGTGTATTTTAGTGCATTTACACAAAACAGATTTATTAAACAGATATATTTATTAAAGTAACGTTTAAGTCACCAAACATGTTAAGAAATTGAAAGATAACACAATTAAATTCAAGCAAAATATTGCAAATAAATAAATAAATAAATAAAAATGACAACCTACACAATTTTAACTTATTTTCTCAATTTCTTTGCTTCTCTTGATTTTTCCTCTTTTTAAATTTGTATTTAATATTTTTCTCTAACATAAATCTGGGTGCACTTGTTTTTGCAATGTTATCATAAGTTATTTGGTTAGATAAGCTCCAGATTTGGCTTCAGTTCTGACCAACCTAATGTGCATATAAATATAAATACAAATATAAAATTGTATAGCTTCCTATTAAAAAATATTAATTTAAAAGAGAGATTTGTGAAGGCTGTACCTTTTGTATGCTGAGCATTACATAACGGCTTCTTTTTTGAATATCATAATTCCTCCACCAACATATTATCAAGAACAATTAATAAAACGATAAGATCTTTATATAATGAAATCTGGGATTGAAAAAAAAAAACATTACACACTGTTCCAAAACTGCACTTGTGACAAGCATGTGTCACTTAAGTAGATATAAACTTTAACAATATTTCACAATTTACTGTTTACTTAAGTGTCACACAATTCTTCAGAAATAATAAAAAAAAATGCTGATTTGGTTCTAAAAAAGCATTTTGCAATGATTAAACAATTCTGTTGCTTAACATGTGTAAGGAAACCATGATGCATTGTTTTCTGGATTATTTGATGAAAAGAAAGTTAGGAAATAACAGTATTTATTCAAAACAGAAATATCTGGTAATATAAGTGTCATTTTTTTACTCAATTAAATCGCCTGAATTTTGTTCAGGTTTCAGAATACTATAGAACTGTAAATAGATATAGAAAAATAAAGATAAATATATACGTTTGCTCTGCTTTTATGGCTTCTGTAAATTACACCGAATTAAAGTCATACAAATATCAATATTCTTTAATTGATTTTTTTTCTCAATTTCAACAGTCAACAGATTTACTGCAAAAACTATATACCAGTGCTCTCAAACTCAGTTGCTGGAGGGCCAATCACCTCCAACTCACACCTTCTTACAGTATATGGTATAATAGTTTAGTCTTGAACATCTTTTTTAGTTGGATCAGCTGCGTTTGATCAGAGTTGTAGCAAAACTGTGCAGAGCTGCGGCCCTCTAGGAATCCAGTTTGAGACCTATGCTATATACCTGAGGTGCCCAAACTCAGTCCTGGATTAATGATTTACCCTATTTAGACTCACCAGGGCTAGCTATTACTAGGCTTTCTACATTCTCAGAAATAAAGGTACGCGAGCTGTCACTGGGGTGTGGTACCTTTTCAAAAGGTACACATTGAAGGGTCCATATTGGTACCTCAAAAGTATATATTAGTACCTACCAATTTTAAAAAGTACAAAATTGTTTCTCTCAGGTACTAAAATGTACCCTTGAGGTATTAATATGGAGTTATTAGTTACAAATTTGTACCTTTTGTAAATAGTACCACCCCAGTTACAGGTCGCGTACCTTGTTTTCTGAGATTGTAGAAACATCCGTGCAGGTGTGTTAAGGCAAGTTGGAGCTAAAATCTGCAGGAAACTAGCCCTCCAGGACTGAGTTTGGGCATCTCTGCTATATACCAGATAAATGAAAAAATATATAATACAAATGGTTGATATTTACTTGAAGATTTTCTGAAGATTGTAAACTTGGAGAAATAACATCTTAACTTTACTTTTTCTGTTTAAATACACTAACATTAGAACCCACTGTCCATTATGAAAGAGTTATTTCACTTCATCGCAGGCTCTGCCATGAGTCAACGTTAAATGCCATCTCTCT